ATACCGTCAATTGGCAGGGGAGATGAGCACTCAGCACCGTTGAAAGTGAAATACCAGCGTTTGCAGCAATCTGTGCACCTGTAGATTCTGAGGGCACCAGTCCAGTAAACATGGAGAGCTGTATCCGCGAAGTTTTTGGTGAAAACACAGTCCTGTAAAAACAGCAACAAGAAAGTAATTGAAATAAAAAAAGAAACGCAATTAACTTGAAGAAAGAACTATTTCATTCCGAATAGGTTGGTAGATTTCATAACACCAGTTTAATTTAACTTCCGCTGCCTTGAGGGTGTTTTAAGCGTTAATTTACTAGTGACGTGTTGCTAACCTATCTTACTGTGTCCTTACAAATATTGCAATAGTGGAATAGAAATTCACCTTGATCAGGCCGTTATCTTTGCCGTCATTCAAATCTTTCCATGCGCACTCTTTCCAGTTCTTATAAGACATCAGACCAGGAGGGCCTTGAATTCCAGGTTCTCCTTTGGCGCCATTCTTTCCATTGATACCAGGAGTTCCTGGAGGTCCCTGGGGTCCAGTCTTCCCCGAGCTGCCCTCGTCACCTTTAGCTCCGTCACGGCCATCACGGCCATCACGACCTGGTGCCCCAGGAGACCCAGGCTTTCCGTGCATACCAGGGATACCACCATAACAGAAAGCGGGAAGTTGCTGGTTTGAAATAAGAAAAACAAAGTTAGTCATCGAGGCTTGACATCATAGATGTAAATGCATGATTTACTCCCGTTACAGTGTCTTATTATTCTGTGCTTGTTGCAAAGTGCCCTAACCCGGCTCTAGTCTAGAAGAATGGTTTAATTTCAAACGAAGACAGTTTGATCCCGAAGATCAAGGCCGAAGCAAGTAACAAGCAAAACGAGGCACTTGCATCGGTCATTTTGTGGGTTTTGTCGTTTTTAGTAAATATAAACACCCTAAATACCTAGGAGGAGAATTTAATCATGGACGTTGTCTCAGTCGTATGTTTTTTTGGCTACGGTACTGAGGATCAATTTGCAATAACTCAATATCGGGCAGCTTAAAAATGTCACAATGCAATGTAGATATGCCAGGTCAACTGGTCAAGCATTTGTATCTGAGGATCTTAGATTGATATTTTTCATTCGTCAAGAAATGTATCATTGAATCAAAGTCAATATTGCAAAGGAATATTGTTTCACTTTTGTCAAAAATAACTCACCATTTTGTGCGACGGTTGATTGGTTGTGTTATTGGCTGTGGCACAGTAAAACAACAAAAACATCGCAAACAACGACAACAAGGACATCACAGAGACTTTGTGTGAACTGAAGGCCATTTCTTAATTCTTCACGAACCAGTTCTGGGGAAAAACGTTTACAAAGCTGAGGTTAATTGAAATTGTACAAACGATAGTATACGTAATGCTGATGCCGAGGGACAAGTCAATCGCATTTAAACTTGAGGGTTGAGTAATTTCTGCTTTGATTTGGACTGATATCGACATTGTTTCCGTAGTTTGGAATCAATGCCTCTATCCAAGTGATAATTAATCGATTTTAGCGAACGGTTATTTTGAATTGAAGCGTCGGGGTTAAATTTTTCACTACATGGCAATAGATAGATTCATGTACTGAGAAAACTACATAAGGCAGTACAGCAGGAAGATCTGAGGAAACGACGGCATACCTGTAAGCTTAAGGAATTGCTTTTCTGTTCCAAGCGCCAGTTGGACAACTCGCTGTAATAGAAAGATAATAAGTAAGTGACGTGTGCAGTAGAGTTTTCAGCCTTTGTGTTGACTTTGGTTCGTGTTCGGACCAGTTTACTGATGACCATGAGTCGAGCTGTTTCAATAGTACATTACATCACTGATAATGCTGATGACATTTGTTTTGTCTTCATCTAATAAGAAGAAACTATTTTAATTTCCTGTTACATTGCAGCAAACAAACATCACGTTTTATGCCACAGTTAGGATTGTGCTGAGTTTTTGAAAATATGACCTCGAAATATTTTGTAAAACATTAATGACGATAACTTCTCACCCTTAGAGATTCATCCGAAAAATACCTCGTCTTTGAAGTCTTAAAAGAGAGCGATTATCAGTTTTGCATTTCTTAAGGAGTTAGGATCCCTTCTTTTGTTATGCTTGTCAATACAGACGATTTTGGCTTGTTTGACAAAAGAAAAAGGAAGTTAAAACGTGAAAATAGATCGAAATAGGTTCGTCTCTTCACAGGACCAGAGAAATTGTTTTCACAGAGCGGGAAGCGATTATTTATTGGAACAACGTTATGCAGCTGATTATGATTATCCTTTATCAGTGCACATGAAAATTGGATGATTCAAGATTATCTTGACTTTTGCATTTCAAGGGTTATGTTTGGTGATGATTATTCACATCTCATATGTGTGTTTTTTTCAGCTGATTGTTTATGTTAACAAACACTTTTTATCAACACAACTGTTATTTACTCACGTGACCTACGCTATTTACTTTGTACAGAAGTGTGAAAGTGTTTCTTTTCGCGAATAACTTGGAAATGTTTAATAGTAAGGACTTTTCTTTTGTTTACCAAGACAACCTTTTTTGCTCCGCAGTTATAACTCGGTAAATCTATTGATAAATTGCAGTGCATTTTCTTTAAATGAGCCTAAATTAAA